AGAAGAACAGAAAAAATAAAGCCAATTGGAAGTGTGAGTTTCAACTTAATAGAAGAGTTTACCATTCTGAGTAGGGATAGTAGCATTACGACCAGGTTGACAAACTTGTCTGGAAAATATTTTCCAGATAAAATTAAGGAATTTTAATTTTCCGAATTCTTGTACAACAAAATTAAACTTGTCCCAATTTTGTATTCTATATCTCACTGAAATTAATTAAATAGGAATAAATATCTTTGTATTTTAATATAAAATTGATGCATTTGCTCAATTGAGTATTTGTATCAAACATTATCTATTATAGCATTGGTGTTCAGTTTTCTTTGTGACCATTAACAATGACCATTTTTGTAGCTGTAAATTCTTACAAAAGGGTACAATGTTTCTACAAATAACAAATTAGTATATACTGTTATTCTTATTATCAGATCTGTTTTTGCTTTCATTCATTTGATTGTCACAAAAGGATCCTGATTTTCAATTAGACAAGAGAATGATAGTCCTATTTATTTCTAAAAATATTCAGATCCTTTCAGATGTCCTAGGATTTCTTTCCAAAGTGAAGGGAGGCATTTTTAAAAATATTTTGTTTTAGTTGTAGTTGGACACAATACCTTATTTTATTTTTATGTGGTACTGAGGATCAAACCCAGCACCTCACATGTGCTAGGTGAGTGCTCTACTGCTGAGCCACAATCCCAGCCCCTGGAGGCATTTTTAATTCCTGGGGCTGTAGAGAAATAGGGAATGACTGCTTAAATGTTTTCCTTCTGCAGTACTGAAGATGTTCTGAACTAGATTGTGGTGATAGGCGCACAAATTTCTGAATGTACTAAATGCAACTGAATTGTACAATTACCAATGGTTGAAATGGTGAAATTTATAGTTTGTGACTTTCACTACGATTTGTTAAAAAACCAAAGACAAAACACAAGCTTTGAAATTCAAATGTGGAACCACAATAAGTTATCAGAGCATAGAGGGTTGCCAACTTACCCTGGACACTAAGTTTTCCATTTATGCCACCAACTCTAATTCTAAATAATAAAAAGCTGAAAAGAAGCTGTTTAGTCTGGTAGCACCTTACAAACACACACTTCAAAATTTTGTTCTTTGGTTGTAGAAAATAAACTCAGAATGCAAAAGTCAATCATAATTCTATTCTCTTGGAAGACTCTATTCAGGTTTCTTCCCCTCCTTCCCCTGAGGTAAGCACAAACATTTTGACCCTGAAAAAAGAGCAGATATTGTTTTATAGCATATTCAACTATATGATTTTACTGACTATATACCTAACCCAATTTTCTACTATGTGCAGGCAATGTTCTACATGCTTTAAATATGTTCATTAATTTAATCATCCCATAAAGTTGATATTGTATCAACTTTAATCCCATAAAGTTGATATTGTTGTTCTGATGTTAAAGATGAAAAAGCTGAGAGAGGATACAGAGCCTAAGAGACCCGGCTAGTAACAGAGCTGGGATTCACATCCAAGCAATTTGGCTCTGGTGTCTATGCGCCCAACTATTATGACTCAATATTTAACTAAATCAATACTGCTGGACACATGGAATTTAGTCAATGTTTTGCTACTACAGACAAAAATCTAATGAACATCCTTGAAGTCAAATACTTGCACACAAAAATAATGATCACAATAAAAGCTCCTGCAATTGAAATTCTGTTCCAAAGTATATTTAAAATTTAAGGCTTTAGATTCAACTAACAAATTTTTGAAATGGACAATCTCACCTTTGTAAGGGATCACTTTCATACATGGGGAAAAGATTCACTATGAAGTACACACCACCTTATTTGGTTTGGATCATCTTGTGATAAAAGTCAGACATTATCTATCAAGTAAGTGAAGGAACCCAGATTGGAATATTGAGTGCCTGCTTTGGATTTTGTTATTTAAACTCATACTGTTTTCCCTTGACTATACTGGTCCTCAAAATAAAACTCCTGTCTGAGTGAACTATTTCTGGAACACCTTGCAATTATAATTACCTTGTAATAATATTCATGAGAAATCAAACCCCAATGTAAACATACACATAGGTAGGTACCCATTTAAAAAGCAGTACCTTAAAATAGCAATCTCACCTCAAAGTATAATATATATTAATGATATTGACAACTTGATAATGTCCCATTCTTTGAAATATTCCCCACAAATACAACAGTGACTCTGTTGAGGAATTCTATTTCTATGCTAACCTGAAAAACAATTTTGCAATTTATACCAAATCAGTCTCTAACACAGTACAGACAAGAAACCACATTAGCACTGTTTTATTATATTGTATGACTGTAAGTACTATTTACACATTGAATCTTTGCTTATTTTAGCCTGCCATGTTTCTTTAAAACAAAGTAGTTTCTTCTAATGACAAAATTAAAGCTGTATTTAAAACATGACAAAATAAACCCCATTGCACTTGAGATAGTTAACTGCTTCCTTATAAATGTAAGAAAAAAACAATCTGCATATTTACAATTTAAAAACCCAAGGAAAAAATGTAATTTTTTAAAAAAAAATTCTTATACACTAAAATAGCATAATTTTCACCTTACACATGGAAGAAAAGAACAACTCTACATGTTAAAATGATTACATTAAAATTAGAAGTCTTGGAAAATGACTGTATCAAAAATCTAAGTCTAAAAAACCTAGAGTTCAGCAGTAAATGAGAGAAAAGAAAATGGAGAACCCAATCCGAAGTTTAGAACCACTTTTAGGGTAAATACTTTCTTCATGTCCGGAGGGAATCAGGCTTTCTTCTTGAGTGCCTTGTTTGTTCTGCACAACCAGTTCAGACCCATCCTGAAAGCCTCAGGTTCATCATGCAGCCCGCCCTCTCCCTATTCCACACTCCAAACAAGAAGAGACATGACGAAGGGGTTGGCAGACACTTCTCCACAATCAAACCACTGCTGCACTGACTTAAGAAGGGAAAAGTAGGGCCAGGCATAGGAAAGAGTTATGAGGCAGACCACCGGCCTTCACTACCACTCCCAACGTTTGCTGGTGTCTCTCCATGACCTTGAAGGCCTGTTGCTCTCTGACTTTCCAAATACTCCACTCAGGCTGGCCCTCTTCCAAAATGACAATTTGATCTCTTGGGCCTGCCCTCCACTGTGTTCTCAAGGACAACTTGATCTCTTTCTTTCATGCATTCTGAATTCCAGATTTCTTCTATGCAACATTTCTTGTTCCAAAATAAATTGATTAAAAAACAATACTTTACACTGAAAGATGATTGAAAATCTAGAGTACTGGCCACTTAAGTGAATGTCTCCTAGAAGTTTGGAGGACAGTGATGGGAGAGAAATAAAAGAAGGGGGCTCTTGAAACCTGGCTTATCTTGAATCAAGCCAGTGCCACTTTATAACAAGACAGTGAGTCAGGAAAACATGTCATAGCCCCCTGTTTCTGATTAGAACGCAGTATAAATGGTGATAGTCTATAGGATTGAGTTGATGGACAGCCACTGCCAACTGGATGGTCTCAGTAAGATTTGCCTCCCCGTTCCATGTAGCCACTACACTGTGACTTAGAAGACATGGGTATTTGGTTCTAAATAAAAAAAGATGTTCATAAATAGGAGAGAGAGAAAAAAATGGTGATAGAGGATTTAATTTCAGCAGAGATAAGGTTTAAAATATGGTTTTAGTATTTGCTCCCAGGAAAAACACCTTATTTATGGAACCTTCCACCAGAAATCTGGGAGTCCTAACTATGGCGGGTATTTCCTTGTCTGCTACTAATTTGTGGACACAGAAATCTTTATACTGCAAAACAAATTTACCGTTCCAGTTGGTTCCCTCCTTTCTTCCTATTGAAGAAGTATAATTTAAAAAACAAATATAATTTGCTTACAAGTTTAAGCAAATTATACATGTGAACATAAACTATCCTGATATACTCAGTTATCACATAGTATGTAAGAACTAGGCATAAGAAGCTCTGGTTTTTTTTTTAAACCTCTGATTGTTATTAAAGGACAAACCACAGCCCAGCCTCATTTTAAGTTGTCGCTTTCATTTTTGTTTTCATTTCATTTTTAATGTTAAATTGATAATAATTTCATACCCATACATATTAATTTTGAACATATACCTATAGACTATTGCCACTCAAATAGGCTAGTTCAGCAAATTTTGCCTTCAAGGTCAAATGAGGAATTTGATAGTGAAAATGGGGTGAGGGTTGATCCCAAATCTTCAGAGCAACAAAAATTTTAATTTAACTTACTCTTAATGATTTTTTTTCTCAAAACTTTGTTCATATTTAACATTTCTTGTCTATTTTTTAACCTATCCCTTGAAATTAGTATATGATAATAGCTTTGCTATTTTTGAACTAATATTTACCCAAAACATTTATCAGAAAAATATCTTTAGAGAATGGATCCTTTATAGAGCGTAATTCCAATACTATAGCATGATATTTGCTAGTTGTCTGTTTTAACATTTTTCACTTCTTGGAAAAGATAAGTAACAAATTGCTTCTAAAATACAAATTTGGTAAGTAATATATTTCAAAATCTAGAAAAATCCATTATATATACAGATGCTCCTCTACTTATGATGGGGTTTTGTTCCAGTAAAACTGTCATAAGCCAAAAACGTCATTAAACTGAAAATGCATTTGATACACCTTATTTACCAAACCTCGTAGCTTAGCAACGCAACACCCTGTGAAGCATCAGTTGCTTCCCGTCATGAAGCTCCCTCACTGGGAGCTGAGGCTCATTGCTGCTGCACAGCATTATAAGAGTGTCATACAGCCTATTGCCAACTAGGAAAAAGTCAAAATTCAAATTTCAAAGTCCAGTGTCCCATGAATGTGTATCATTTTCAGATTATCACAAAGTCAAAAAAATAACAAAAACCTGTAAGTCAAACCATTGTTAAGTCCAGGACCATGTATATCTGATTTTGAAACATCCAGAATGCCTCACAAGGACGTGTCTAATTGCAGCACTGTGACATTATCTCTTCGTGCATGCTTCTGCTAATGTAAGAAATTTGGGTTCCAAATTATTTAGAAAGTCAAGTCCATCGTCTTCCTGTTTTTCACTGCAGCAACCTACAGAACCAGCTGGAGATCCCCTTCCTTCGTAGTTATATGTGAGGACATAGTCTTGCGATGGCATGTGGTCTTCATTCTGATTGCACACATGCAACTTCTGTAAAATTTTAAAAAAAGAGAGAGAGAGAGATTGTATTATTGTTTTAAACAACGTAAACATATGAACATAAAATTTATTTTTTATTTACCTTTCATGTTTAATTTTTAACCAGTGTGTCCTCTAATGGATTCCTATACACAAAAAATGCACATGATTGGTCTATATTATAACCATATCATAAAGTCAATATATTTTACATATCATAAAGTCAATATATTTCTAATAATCCACACAAATAAAAGATCACGTATACAAATGCTATATTTAAGTATATCTGTATTATCATTATATTTGTTCTTATATTTTATTCTAGCATTCAGGCTACTCCCCCTAGACAATATATATAGGACTGGAATTTGAGCTTTCTTATAGAACATCTTTCATTCTGAGTCAAAGTTCTGGCTTTACCAACTAACTATGACATTGAAAAAGTTACTAATAAGACCTTAAGTCTCCATTTTCTCATGTCCAAAATGAGAATAAAGACAGTAACCAACTCACATGATTACTTTGAAAATTAATGATAAAACAACACAAGAAATAGACACTTATTATGGCAAGCATATTATAATTGTACAGTAAATGTCAACTAAAATCACTATTATATGCAGTTATAGAGTAGGAAAGAATTACCATATTGACTTCAGAATCAAATTTCCAAGATAATTAAAACATGGCAAAATACAGAAATGCACAAGATAATTCACTGAAATTAAAAATAATCAACATAAACCACATTGCAAAAACTGGATTTTTTGTAATAAAGAAGTCGACCATATCTATTCCCATTGCTATCTTGTCTGGCAGACTGTCAAACTTCTGTTCCTCCTCCCTTTCCCCACCTGCATGCCCACCTTTCTCTAAACTGATGTTCCTTTGGTTGGCTGATGTTATCAAGTGCCTTTCTTCATGACCTTGTTCATCTTACCTTGCATTAATCTCATTAGCAGGTGTGTGCTTTGTAGAACTCTCCTAAGAGTGTCTTAAGCTTTCCTCTTTCTCAACCTGATCTTACATGAATACAAGAGTATTCATCCGTCTTCAAACAGATAAAGGATTAACATTTGAAATGACAAAAAACTAAAAATGCTATGGACATATGATAACCTACAGCCCTACCACAGGATATTGCCCATTTGCAGTCCACCCAAGGGACTAAGCTTCCAGTCCTTTCTACAATGGCAATGGTACCCTAGGTTCAAAGAGGTAAAAACTTAGCATCAGCAAAAATATTTGATTCAGTGGCTTTCCATCCTAACTTAACATTTAGGTCACCTTAGAAACTTTTTAAAAGAAGCCAAATCAATTAAATTAGAACCTTTCCAAGTGGAGCATTGGCATTTGTATTTTCCACAATCTTCTTAAGGGATTTTGATGTGAACTGAGAATCCCTTGTTCTTTCACATTCTTGCTTTCTTCTAGATTAAAAACACTTCATTTTTATGTGGTGATTTATCTACTAAAAAGATTTCATACAAAGGTGACATTTAAAAAATATTTCAAAATTGCTAAGAGAGCAAATCTCTAATGTTTTTACCATACACACATACAAAAAATAATGGTTTCTTGGGTGATTTTATCATTCTACATCATATATAGATACCATACCCAATATCAATATACAATTATAATGTGTCAATGTAGAATAAACTTAAAAGCTAAAAAACAAATAATAAATAAATATTTCATATAAATAATGTTCATTTTCATTCTCAATAGCATACAAATATTTTTGTTTTCACAGAGAAATACATGCTTGAATTGGGAAGTTTGGAATCATGACAAATTAGAATTTTCCCCATTCTTCTATATCAAAAGAATTCATGACATAAGTGAACACTTAAATTTAAAACTTTAATAAAAGGTACTAGACCTCTAATTTTATGGAAGTGAATATGACAGAGGAAATGATTTTTTAAGTAGCTAATGTAACAAAATCAAAGAGCTTATTTAAAAAATGACCAGAGAAAGCAAGAGAAAGAACATGGAACAATATATAAAAGCAATCTCTAAAAATATACACGTCAAGAGCTTTGTAATGTTTTGAACAACTAATAATTTTAAAAAATGTAAAAAAAAAATAAAATAAAATAAAAAAGGGCTAAGGAGGTGGCTCAGTGTTAAAAAAAATTAAAAAGTTAATGTAAAAATATACACATATTAAACTTCAAAGTTGAAGCACATAGGGAAACTCACTTCTCCAAGTCGGGGCTGAGTGAAATTGTGCCACTCGGAGTAAGTGTATCTGCAGTTGTCCACATCCACATGTCCTCCCCTGCAGGAATCCAGTGTGTGATGATGCCCAGCCCCCCGGCAGGAGTCCAGGGTCTGGTGTCCTTTCACCATTTCGATAGTTTCCTGCCCTCCATTTCTGATTCCAGATCCCAAGGTGCCACAAAAGCCGTGACTAGAGTTGTTGGCAGTCTGGGCTGTGAATCCATTAGCAGAACACTACAATTTAATACAAAATAAAGTAAAACCATCAGTATTGGGAGGAAACGAATTTCAAATAAAGTAGCAATAAGGCAGAGGGAGAGAGACCATTCATTCAACCTTCTATGTATTCATTCATGTTTTCAACAGACATTTATCAATATTTACTATAAATGCAAAGGCACAGGGATACAAAAGTAGACATAGTCCCTCCGTGACTGCAAGAAGCTTTTATTCTAATAAGAAAAAAAAAAAGATAAGACTTTTAAGAATGTGTTTACTCTGCTGTGTAGGTGAACACAAAATGCTAGCAACACAGAGGTCAAAGATTAAAACACAATCCCAGAAAGAATAAGTGGAGTAGACTGGGAAAACTCTGAGCTGAGGGACTAAAAACCTGTAGGAGTTGGGGAAGAATGCAATACTCTAGAAGAGTCTGGAGTCAAAAGTAAATGGGGTACTTACTGCAGGGGTCCTCAACTTCAGTGACTTGAGAATGGCTACCACATGAAGTTGAGAGAGAGAGAGAGAGAGAGAGAGAGAGAGAGAGAGATAGTGACAGGCACAAAGAGAGATGAAAGAGGGCCAAAGGAGAAAAAGATTGCACAGAGAGATGAAAGAGAAAAAGTCCTCCATGATGTGCTAAAAAAATTCCAACTTTATTAATGAGATTATAGAGACCCAATGAAGTGTTTTAAATTATTACAGAGAGGAACACATTTTAAAAATATTACTCTAGGCAATAATGTAAAAGATAAATAAGATGGAGACAAATTAATATCATGAAGATCAGATGGGGCCACTGAATAATTCCCCATGAAAAATTATAAGGACCTAAACCTAGGCAGATAATGATGAACTCAAAGTGGATGGACTCCATACAGAGTGTTCTGGTGGCTAGATGGATAAGCAGCAAAGGGAGAGTCAGGAATGACTCCTTTTACTTGGCCAACTAGATAATAATACAATTCACTGAAATAAGAAAGAAAAATGTACTTGAGGGCAAGAGGAGGGTGAGCAACTCAATTTTGGAGTCATGTATTTAAGACACATGAAGTTTCAATTGAACATATAAATATGCAGCCTTAGAGCTCATGTGAGAGACCTAATCTGAAGACATAATTCTGGGAGTCATAATTTTGGGGTGATAGTTGAAACTTCAGGAATAATTAAGGTACTCAGAGAAAATTGTAGACCAAAATTTAAAAAGGGTTAAGGACAGAACCACAAGAAAAAATCAAGTCTAAAAGCACGGAGAAGAGAAATACAGCTGTGACAGGATCTGTCTAAAACAACCGCTGAGATAATAGAGGGAACTAAAAAAGTAGGACTCTGAAGCCATGCAGACAGGATTGTGAGAAGGAGGGAATGACCAAGAAATTTTTAAAAATTTGGAGCATGATAAGAATTAATTCAAATACAGGACGTTGGGGCTGGGGTTATAGCTCAGAGGTAGAGCGCTTGCCTTGCACATGTGAGGCACTGGGTTCCATCTTCAGCACCACATAGAAATAAATAAAGTAAAGATATTGTGTCCATTTTTTAAAAAAATCTTTTAAAAAAATACAGGATATGCCCATTGGATATAAGTAAAAAAGTGGAAAAGTAGTCATTGGTGACCTTTGTCAAGGAAATTCCAAAAAATACTGAGTAAATAGGAAGTAAAATTATAGATGAATCTGGTATATATTTTTTTTTCTTTCCAGAAGTTAGTTCAAAAAAAGAATGAGAGAGCGAGGGAGGGAGGGTAACTAGCCAAGTGTCAAGGAAATGCTTTGAAATGAAAGAGATTGATTAAACATTAACTTAGCCCTGGACCTTCACTTCAGCACTCTGGGCCACAGGTCAGGGGTTATTTATAGCAGTAAATTGCTGTGTCAGCTGACTATACACCATTATGCTATGTCACAACAAGAACCTTCACTATAATCAGACTGTCCATTGTGCCATCCTCTTATTGATTTAATGTTTCTACTATTTAATGTCTAGAGTCTTTAATGAAACTGGAAAATATTCAAGTTCAAATGATTTATATAACCTGAAATATATCTACAAGTCATGCATGCTATCTCGTTGCCTTTGGGGGGAAAAAATCAAAAAAAAGAGAATTGAAAAGTAGCCATTTGGTGGCAGTGCTACCCCATATTTAGATTGCTGCTACAGTCAAATTGCATTACAAGAAAAAAATAATTCCTGACTATAAAATCTCCATGATGGTGAAATTTTGTCATAATAAATACATATCCAAGTTAATGAAAGACCTGAAAATACACAAAAATCTATGCCGATGTTGACCCCACAGTGCCAGACACTGGATCTATTCTCTGTTTTCTTCCTGCTCACATTTATCTGCTTTGTCCCAAAGTTTCACAGGGTATCAACTACTCCCTACTCAGGTCAATAATTCCCCAGATTTACTTTTTCTGATTTTTCACCCAACCCTCGACCCTCTGTATACTTTTAACTAAAACTCTGACCCCAAACTAAAATCATCTCCTTTCCTCATTGTACTTATGAGACTTTATGTAATCACTATGAAATGTTGTTAAAGTTTGTAAAAATTTGCTTAAAATTATATTCTGGCATGAATGAATGATACCAAGCACCTTATAGAATACTACTACTACTTCAATTTCTACTAATTATAATAATAATAATAGTAATAAAAGTGTTCCTAATAGAGAACAGGTAAATATGGTAAAATGGCCAATCAATACCATCAGCTCTAGCATCAAATGGCAAAATACAAATATTAAGTAAAGCTTATCGATTCCATTTTCACATATAAAATAAGAACTTACTATGACTCAGGGCTACTTAGCACCTAAACCCATTTTCTGACATACTTTACAATTATGGAGATGATAATAGCATTCTGCAAGTAGACATGTCAAGCATACATGGCTATGATTTTGCATAACGGTGAGAAGGAGGTAAAGAGTTACATGGTAAATAAGAAAGGCTTCCTCACCTGGAGATATAGAAAATGACATACATAGTCATTGTTCCTGCCTATACCCTCTGCCACTTTATCTATACTTTTTACTTTGTCCTTCAAATTCAGTAAACAGCTAAACATTATGTCTTCAAAAATATGTCTTTTTCATTCCTACTTTAAAATTCACTTTTCCATTATCCTAATAGTGCTATCTCATGTTTAAACTCTCAGAAGATCTAGAGCCTTAACTTCCTCCCTAACACACACACACACACACACACACACACACACACAAAAGGCTTCCTATTCTCTTGATCCCCCATCCCAGGAGTGACTGGCATGATGTCACTCCTCTGAAAAAGTCTGACCTGACTCTTCCTACCAAGAAAATAAAGTCTTTCTTGTGATAAAATCCCAGCTCCTACCTCTCCCTTTCAACCTTTCATCTGAAGCCTCTATTCCAACATGGCTTCTTCCATTCAAAGCAATTTATTTACTATTTGTCCCAACAGTCCCTAGACTTTGCCATCACCTTTATTATTCTTTAGACCATTTTCCCCTCTTTAGTTATTCTCTCCATCTCCTCTAAGTTACAATTAAAGCCACACCCCTTTTCCCAGGCCTTCCTAGTTGATTCAAACCATAAACGTTATACTTATAGATTATAGGTGTCTTTGAATTCCAACAGTGTTTTATCACACTAGTTTACTGTCATATTTTTATTTATCTTTTCCATTAAAGTAGATTCTGTTTCCCGTAAGAAGAGCCATGCCTTGTAAGTACTTTTTCATATCTATCCCACAAAATGATAAGCATAGAACCAAGCAGCTCTAAGGAAACAGGGTGACAGTAATGGTCCAAATCCCCCATCACAATTTTTAAACAGATTATTTTCCTACTTATCTTGAAAACTTTTAGAAAGTTTTTTAAATCTTATTACAAAATAATCAAAGAATAAGATTAAATGAATAAGCTTTGGAAATGTAATTGAAAAGAGTGGCCAAAATATTTTTGTCACAATGAATTCACATCAAAGAATCAGCTTTAAATCATAATACTAAAGAAAGAAAAAAATAATTCCAGAAAATTATATATTTATACTGTGTGCATACATGAAGATATAATAATGAATCCCACCATTATATACTAATGCACCAGTTTAAAATATGGAAAAAAGAAATTTTTTTAAAAAGCAGTCAATTCATTTGACTCAAAGGTCTCAAAATAAATAAATAAAGTCAAAAATATAACAAAAATACAAATCTGGTTTAATATATTTAATAAATACTACTATAGAAACATTTGAATACTGACAAACCAAATACTTATACTTACAAAATTGGACCTGATTAGAAATGTAAATAAACTCCTAAATTTTGGAAAAGCTTCATGAGGATGAGTTAAAGGAAGCAAACTATAGTAGATTAGATAAAGATTCATCCAAAAAAAAAATGCCTACTTACCACTCTATCATCTCCAGGTGCTTCTGTGTTCGATATAATTAAGTTCTGCTGTGCTAAATCTTCAGGGAAACTTTTCCCTTTTCTGGCACTAACAACTCCACATACTAAAGTCAGCAATACAGCTGAGTTAAAAAAAAAACAAAAACTTAATTTAACATATGCAGAATAAAATAACCACGTACAACTACAATCATTCCTCATTTCTCATAACTTAGGGGCTACTAGAAGAAAATGAAACTAACAAGCACAATTTCCCATGAATTATCTTGGCCTTCTAAGTTAATAAACCACAATTTAGCTTAGATTTTAAAATTTGAAAGGATGGTATATGTGATTTGACAATTTTCTGATTTAAGGGAATTCTGCCCACCACATTGAAACATATGAGTTAAGTAACACATTTAAAAATCACTGACATTCATTTAATACAAAGATATTAAAGAGATTTACTGATTCCCAGAAGGGTGACTAGTCTATATAAAAACATGACAAAACAGATCCTTTTCTTTTGGGGGGTAGAGGGCTACTGGGGATTGAACTCAGGGGCACTCAACCACTGAGCCTTATCCCTAGCCCTATTTTGTATTTTATTAATACAAATAAGCAACTCAAGGTCCCTCTGAGTTGCTTAGTGTCTCACTTTTGCTGAGGCTGGCTTTGAACTTGCAAATTTCCTGCCTCAGCCTCCCCAACTGCTGGGATTACAGGCATGTGCCACCATGCCCAGCTCAAAACAGACTCTGTTCTAAGAGTAGATTTATCTCTAAGTATCTTCATTAAACCTAGTTTGCATCTATCTATCTAGAATTTTTGTTCTATATCATAATTATGGGAGGTTCATAATTTATGATAATAAAACCAATAGTAATACCAACAACTCTACAATGATTTAAAGACCCTATAATAGATTGGCAAAGCTATAGCCTCAAATCGCCCACCATATGTTTTTGTATGGACCATGGGCTAAGACTTTATATTTTTAATGATTGAAAAAAAAAACATAATAATAAAAAACAATAATGACATGAAAATTACATGTAATTTGAATTTTCAGCTTCTGTATCAAATTCTATTAGAATACAAGTATGTCCATCATTTACATATTTCTTATGGCTACTTTTAATTTCAAGGGCAGATTTGATTAAATACAACTGAAACTGTCTGCACAGTTTAAAAAATATGCTTTCATGTCCTTTATAGAAAAAGTGTACCAACTTTTGCCTACTCAAGAGTGCTCCTTTCCTGGTATATAGTAGATGTTCAATATATATATTTATTTTGTATAACTAAAAAGAACCAATGAATTATATATACATATTAATATATATCATTTATGCTATAGATAGATAAGATAGTTGGGCTGATGAAAAATAACAAACGCTTATTAGAAATTTACCAGACACTTTTCTAAGCATTTCAGGTGAATTAACTCAGCTAATCCTCAGTGCCACCCCATACAGTAGGTTATCACAACTGTCCCCTTTTGCAGATTAGAAAACCTAAAGTTACATAACTTGCCCCAGGACCTATAGCTTACGATAATAAGGGCTGGGTATAAATCCAGAATCTTGCTCTTAAGCACTACTCCTATCACAGAACAGAGCTAATCCAAGCTAGAGCATGGACAGAAGTAAAAGCAGAGGGGAATTATGGTGCCATTAGAAACTACATAGCTGGCATGAGGGAGGCTAATAGAATTCAAAATTTGCAAGATAAACCCAAGATGAGATTTCTGTGATCTGAATATCTCCCCCATGTCTTTGGCTGAAAGGCAAGAAGACATGAAATGAAAGGCTTTTGTGAACTCTCATATCAGGAATTTTATTTTATTTTATTTTTTTTTTGGCAGATGCTTTATTTATTCAGTCCTGCTGATTTTTTTCTTTTTGGTACATCTGCTTTTTCTATGAGGTATTGCATGCATCTTTATAACTAGTGAGAACCGAATCTTGATTCAAAGCAAAATTTTGTTAAAAATATTTCCCTTTCAATTCACAAAATTACATTTAAACAGAAAACATACAAAATACTTAGATGACACCAAGTAATAAGGGTCCACTTGAATTTGTGGTCTAATTTTTAAATGTTTATCTAGCAATATACTGCCCAAAATATGTGGGCAGAGGTTTGGATTGGATTGACAAGAAAAGCAGTTCTGAATTTCATAAAACTTTCACCAGAGAGACTGTATTGTCAGTAGCAGTAATAACAGCAGGTAATTGTGTCATTTACCCTGTTACAGACCACTGAATGTGAGGAGCATGGGACATACCAACTGTCACGCCCTGTTAGCTATCACATTCTCGGATTTGCAAATTTAACACTAGGGCTCACTCTGGGTGAGTGAAAGGAAAATAAAAATAAACCAAGATTAAAAACTATTACAGTTTTTATGGGGAGACTTTTCTAGAAAATAAAAAATTACATTTTTGCAAGGTTGAAATTCAGTGTGGCTATCCTTTGCTTCCTGTTTGTTTCTTTATAATCAAAAGCTGTTGGCTGGAAGTAAGTTTTAGATGCTTCTCTTTAGCCCTAAAAGGTGGTAACACCAGGATCAAGGAATAGAAACTGTATGTTAGTAGATTTAGTGCAATCTAAAAAAATATTTAACAGTTCTGTCCACAATATGAAGTTTTATATCTCAAGAAAGAGCATGTTTCCTTCCACAGTAAGGTCTCAAAACAAACTCAGATAATAACATAAAGGGAACTTTTGAGGATATTCACATCTGATGGATGCTTGCACAAGCTGACTGAAGACCCATTCCTGCACTCAGATCTTCTATTATGCATGTGAACATGAAGTAAGTGACAATACTTACAAAACAGTAGTGCTATGCCCAGTAATATTGCAAGGATGGCCCATTTTCCAAGTGACACGTCTGCACTTCTTGAAGTTGAGACACACTGACTGGGGTGAGTACAGTCACAGAGATCAACTCGCAAGTTTCGGGTTGCAGATTGGCCCGCTCTGTCTTTCACAGTAATAGGAATGATATATTTTTGAAGTTCAGCATTTTTCCGGTATGACAGACGGGCAGCTGTATCTGTAAGAAAATTTTGTAAAAAATAAAAAAGTTGTTTTCGAATGATCATGTGTTTTTCCCTTAGCATCTGTTTGACCACACTTGTTTTTAAAGGCATTATTCTTAGGAGTTGCCAGCCATATGAAAATAAATACAAATGGAGAAATACCTTCAACCCTTTCAAAGAATACTATAGCTTAACATGTTACCCCTTATAACTCTGTGGAAGGAGGCCATAAAGAAATAATTTGGCATTGGAATGACCCAGTAGCCTTCCAGCAATATTTAATATTCCTATCTATGCAAACTAGTAGTGCTAGATTCAATCTTAATATGCAGCTCAAGCAGTTTTCTTTAGTACCAGTTCATACACACATAAAGAATTTGCATTCTCTTATCCATTTGCCTTCTGGTGTCTGTTCCTTATCTTTAGGGGGAAAGAAAGTTTTTAAGGCTCTCAATAGATCTTTCATGATTAATGCCTTACATCTGGAAGTAATTGCAACACCAAAAAGCTGATTGTGTCACTCAGACTAATTATAATACTGATGCAAAAATAGATAATGAACATCATAAAAGTTTGTTTTCATTAATGTCATAGTTTTCTCCCGTGGTCTTAATACCTTACTTTAAAAACTCCACAGACTTTCAATGGTAATCACAACCTCCTTGAATTTTTATAACAGACTTAAAAATATAACCAACTAGCAAAACGTACATACTAGAAGTCATCTGGAATTTCTAACTCTGAGAACTTGAAGGGTTTGGCTGAACCTCATATCTTAAAGTCCTTCAAGGAATGTGAATTACTACTTGGGTTAATTTGGGAGCCTTCAGGACCATAAATGTCTAGAGTGAGACTGTCAAGTCCCACTCCTCCTTCAAGATTACCAATTGAGCCATGGTCATGTTTTATTTATTCACAGAAGTGCAGCCTCTGATGTTCCTTATCATTCAATTATGCCCTCTTCAAATTGTCCTCCTGTCACCAATGTCAACTTTATAGGGCCTAAATCTGGATATGGCGCTGTCCTCTGAGAACATTTCCTGTGCATACCTGCTGTCACCTACTGTCCAAAGTCAGTTAACTCAGTCTGGCTCCTAAGACTCTTCATCGCCAGAATTTCCTCCCAAACTGAGCATTCCTATAAAAACCTTCTAGACTCTAATAACAACAATCCACTTATTCCTCTAGTATGTTTCTTCTTTTATGAATACTTCTTAATCAAATATTGATTAAATACTTTTTAAACAGTTAGGAACTGTTAAGCACTGGACTAGGTACTGGAAATAACGAAGAATTACAAATCTTGTGAGAAACCCATGTGCTAGAGGACAGAGGAACCCATGTGACAATGCAAGATGAAAGGTGAAATAATGCAGGTAGCATAAGGCTGTGGTGCTGCTCCTTATAATTCAAGAAAGACTTCACAGAGGTTGAGCATCCCAGCTGGGATTGTGTCTGTTATTCATTTATACATACACACACACACACACACGCACGCATGCACACACACACACAAACACACACACACCTCCTTGGGATCTTGAACACTGCCTAATAGTAGGTGTTCCAAAAATATTATAAATCAATATAAAGTAAGAAATAATAAAGGAGTTGTTCTAGGAAGAAGGGACAGAATATCCAAAAGTCCAGTTGCATAAAACAGCACGACAAATCCCAGCGGCTTCAGAGACTGAGGCAGGAGGATGGCAAGTTCAAAGTCAGCCTCAACAACTTAGTGAGGCACTGAACAACTTAGCAAGACCCTGTCTCAAAATAAAATATAAAAAGGGCCAGGGATGAAACTCAGTAGTTAAAGCACCCCTGGATTCAATCCCTGGTACAAAAAAAAATGACACAGTAACAAAACAACAGAGTGAAATATGAATGAAATACAGAGAACTACATCCCCCCAAAAAAACTGTGATCACAGGAGGTATCTCTTGGAGGTTCCAATGCCAAGGCCCCTTTTCATATTCCACCATGTTCCTGTACAGAATACCACAGTATATTTGTCTCATTCACCCAGAGTCCTCACTTCCAGAGCCTGTTTACAATACAATTTAAGCTACACATTTTCTGGTCTCTCTTTTCCCTGACTAGTATTAATTAAAAAACACGATGAAAGTTTATCTTAACAATAAGCTGCCCAATATTTTGAAAAGCATATTTTGTCTGTCTTGTAAATGTAAATTTTGCTTGCATAAAAGTCACGATTCCCTTCATTTTATTTATAATATGTAACACACTCACCACACAGTATTTGTAAAAGATTATTTGACCTCCTGAAAATCAATTTTGCATTATGTTTTGTATAAGTAAACAAGTAAATCCATCCTCCAGTAATTCTTTCATTTCCGAGCATATAAATCACGAGTTTTGACTAAATACCATTAACTTTGTTGATGGTCCATATTCTATTGACTTCTGGAGAGGTGTTTGCCAAGCTGAAATGAAATGGAGCTCCATGGACAGGTTCATCAAGATCGATGGCTGAAATGTCAACGTATGTCATCTTTGGTTTGCAAACTACAAGGTAATCTTGGAGTAACTGGGGAGGGTTGTCATTCACATCTTCAATGTTCACTGCAAGAGTTCCAGTACATGATCTGCCATCTGAGAAGAGGAAGAAACCAGGTTTAGCATTGCTTCTAAATTCTTGTTTCGTGGTTTCTTAAGGGGAAAAAAGTCATTTATAATCTATATATGACATATGAATTCTTTTAAAAAATTTTTAATTATACATGACAGTAGAATGTATTTTGGCAGAACATACGTACATAGTAAAAAAAAAAATAACTTATTTTACTGAGGATCCCACTTTTGTGGTTGTACGTGATGTGGAGTTTCTCTGATAGTGTATACAAACACAAGACTAGGAAAGTTATGACCAATTAATTCTACTCTTTCCTATTACCCACCCCCTCCCTTCCCTTTGTTTCCCTATGTCTAGTCTATTCCAGTGGATTTCTATTTCAATCTCCTTTGTTTGGGGTTAGCATCCACTAATCGGAGAGAAAATTTGGCCTTTGGATTTTGAGGATTGGCTTATTTCACTTAGTCTGGCAGTCTCCAGTTCCAATGATGTATGAGTTCTTTAAAATAAACTCTGATTATTATAGGCATGGTGAATAAGAACATGAATAAATAAAATCTGCAGATAATTTAAAATAATTACAGCTGTTAATAATATCAGATAAAAGTTTTAACACATCTTTTACCAGAATTACTACCAAATAATAAATATAAATGTCTGAAATGCGAATTCTGTTTCCTTGAATTCCTGGTGCAAATATTAATAAGCAGCGAGACAGTTACAAAAATTTATCCTAACTTTAGTTAGGTTTTAATCCCATCATGTATTTAAACCACTCAGGGAAATTTTTAAAATATATGATTCCCAGGTTCCACAACCAGATATTCTGATTCAATTAGTCTAAGGTAATATCTATGCCTTGACATTTTAATTTTAATATGAAGCCAGACTTGGGATATTCTAGGATAATTTATGAAACATAATTCAAGGAAAGGATCATCTTGACCTAATAATCACCTGGACTATTTAAAAGCTCAATTTAAAGTGACACAAAGAGACCTGGAGGAATCTCATGAGTCTGTTTTATCTAGTTCTAGATTTAAATTTTATCTTTGTCCTTTAACATAGAAAACCACATAAGCAGTTGAGGTCCTGTCATACATCTTGAGAATACACAGATAAATAAGAGATGGGTTTCTGTTGCTAAGCAGTTTCACCTTGTTAGATGATTAAGACAGATAAGAACAGTCTTTAAGATAATTTCTAAGAATTGCATATGCTTATCACAAAAATAATTCTGCACAGGAATAATTGTAGTTTGTTCTTCCATTCCTTTATGAAACACTAGATTTTTTTTTTTTTACCTTGGTCTATTGCCAGGACTGTAACATTATAAACATCATTTCTGGGAGCCATAACTTCTCTGTCCAGGACTTTGGAAACTGTTATTAATCCCGAAATTTCATCTATGCTGATCCATTCTTTAGGATCATGCAATTTTTTGTATCTGTTAAAAAAAAATAAGAATAAACTCTGGCATCGTGATATGTTTTAAAATAAGAAATTATTTCAATTGTGACAAATGTATTATTAATAAATGATTATAGATTTCTTTGTACCTTAAGCCATTGCTATTTTTAGTTTCAGGGTCATATGCCTTATAGCCATTGACCTTTAACCCCGCTGCTGAGTTTTCTTTAATTCGCACATACTGAGCTGGAGGGTTACATTCAGGCCCTTCATCCTGATCCTTCACTCGAACAGTAACCAAAGCTCGATTCATGGTGGGTACTCTGGTTGCAATATCTCTAATAAATGGAACTTCATTGTTTACTCCAATTTCTAAGATCATTTGATGATTTTCTTCATAATTCAGTGGCTTTATAATAAAAATAAAAACAGATGTATCCACATCAGTGTAAAATACATTTGATATTTCAAACAGCAAGTGAACTTTTGTCAATATGAACAATAAATTCATTCTCACATTTTTTTTCAATATTGACTTCTATCCCTTGTTAAGGACAGAAGTGATTTTGAGCTAAAAAGCCTTTGGTAAGACTCATCCAAAACTTTATGTAGGTAGTTTTATAAAATTGTAGGAAAGAAATTCTATATTTCTTTCTTAATAAGGAAAACTTTCTTTTATTTCTTTCTTACTAAGGAAAACTGTCCTGAAATATGGAAATACCATACAATGAAGACAATATTTAGCAGACTGGCCTTAGGAGTCACCTAACTTTCTAGGGAAAAGCAACTGTGACTGTTTCCTACTGACTTGGGGACCCAGGCATTTGACAATTCTTCTAAAGTTAGATATTGACTTCAACAAAACTCAAAAGGTACAATGATTTTATTTTCTGTCTGATAGATGAGATAGTCCAAATGTCTGCTTTAATTCCCTATAAGGCTTTTAACTAAGGCATCTCATAGCAGCTTTTTCTTTGATCAAATCCATCCAGGGTCTCATTACTTCCTAGGAGTCTACTTTGTCTTTTTGTTGGTTCCCTTACTACCTATAGTTATGCAAATTATGTTTTTGACAATCGGAGAATAATACATTGGCATTGTCTATAGTTAGTTTTTCCAGTGAAATTCTGATAGAGGAAACAGAAAGGAGTCAAAGAAACACGAGGTCTTAATGGCACTTGTTAAATACACACCCCTTTTCTAAGAAGTGAAGACAAATATACTGAATCCTCATACTCTTGTGGGGTAGGTATTATCATCCTCCCCATTTTACAGAGCTGCAAACTGGAAAAGAGAGAGATAAACTGATTTTCCTAAAGCCAAAAGTATGTGTTTGAGCTGGAATCTGAAATCAGGTTCTTTAGTTCAAGTCTTTTTCCTTAACCAGCTGGCTATAATCCCTCTGCTAAACTAAGCTGCTTAATTGGTTCACTAGCCTCTGTCAATTTTTAAGTCAACACCTTAGTAATTGATTTTTAGGTAGTAAATCCAGCAAAACCCTTAAAACACTATTTTCCACCACACAGTAAAGTTAAAACACACTTTCTCTGATTCTCTTTCTGCTTATCAATACAACCACTGGATAAACATTGAACAAAATCAAAACTGATAAATTAAATTGTTTTTAACCTGTCCTTACAACCAGGTATTAACAGAATGAGAGATTGATAATCATGAACCCTCTAAGAAATCAAGAAAATTTTTGAATTATACAATACATAAAACATAGGTGAAGCTTTTTATTTTTATGAATATCCCAGAAACTATAAAGTCAAGAAGAAAAGAAGGCTAATATTTTCTTTTTGATGCTGATGAACTCCATCTCAACAAATTATAGATGCTGGCAGGCCCATGCAGAGTGGAAGGGCAACTGTTGGCAATGTTGCACAAGTAGAGGGGCAGTTATGTGATCCAGAAAATCTTGCTAAGCTTACAGTTTCTTCAGGTAATTTTTCAAGGCTTAAGTTGGATATTACCTTAGTTCCTTAAAACTCTGCAAAAGATATGAAATCTGGTAGGCTGAATCTCAATGACTAATGAAAATAGGTAAATTCTCTTCCACCAGCAGTGTTTTTGTTTTATAATTTGAAAAAAATCTTCATGTTCATGTACAAATACAGCAGAATGAATTTTCTATTATGTCTAATTATAATGCACCAATGGAAAAATAAGAATTGCTCAAAAATATCCCATATCTTCCCTGAAATTTTAGTAACTCCTTAGGACATGTATTTTAGCGGAGATGGAACTGAGAGCCATCCATATTGAGAATGATGAAGAACAATGCTGTCCTCACTCAAATCCATATGCATTACTGTTGGCCCTGACAGGAAAAGAAAACACTGAGGTGGAGAGATCTTCCAGGACTCAGATAAAGGCACAGTCAGCTCATACTATAGTTATAGAAAAGTCATCTGTTATGGAAAAGTGTAACATTGGTCCCAAGAATATGGTATGACTTTTTAGAGTAAAATAATAAAATTCTATAGTTCACCAAGTGCTTTCACTTTCATTGTGTTTGAGTAACTATTAGTTAGGCAGAGAGAAGCATTATTTCCATTTTACAGATAATACAAAGATAACTTTCCAAGGTCACAACAAAGAGAAGCAACTTAACATAATGCTTAACAGCACATGCTTGGAACCATAGACATATGTCCAAACCTTGTCTGTAATACATCTATGCTAAGTGACTTTGGGACAGCTTCCTATCCTAAACTTTCTGGTCTGTTCAGTTGGTTTAAGAATGACATTTATTGCTTTAATGTACAGTAAGTGCTTTACACTATTTTCCACCACACAGTAAAGTTAAAACATACTTTCTCTGATTCTCTTTCTGCTTATCAGTACAACCACTGGCTAAACATTGAACGAAATCAAAACTGATAAATTAAATTGTTTTTAACCTGTCCTTACAACCAGGTATTATGCAGGAAAATTGAGAGAATAGTGATGTGTTTGTTGTTGTTGTTAACAGTCAAAATGCTATAAGGCAGTAATAAGATAAACTAACAAAAAACAATGTTTGCATTTTATTAATTTATTAAGCAAAAGAAATATAACTGAACAATTCTTAATTTACTCTACTGATTACTTAATCCTTCAGGTATAAAAGAAAAAGAAAAATGTGCATTTTTCCTGAACATGATTCTCAAAAGTAAAAACCAGAACACTGGAAAAGGAGAATTCCCTTAGAGTAGAGAAGAACACTGCATATTTCACCAACAAGGAGGTCAATCCTCATTGGAAGACAGGCTACCAGACTTAAAGATGAATTTCAAATGCACTGGTAAAAAATAGAAGATGTCTCACTTGAGTTTAAAGGTACAACTACACAGTCACAAACATTTTCCAAGGAAAAGAATATGATACTTTTAAATCCAATGTGGCTACTAAAGGAACTCCGATAAATTCAGGTTTTCTAAGATTTTCCATAAATATGGAAAGGAGACATAATATGACAAATACAAATTTTATTGATCAAAATGTTAAAAAATAGCATTTGACTCAGATTAAAAATGAATAAGCTTAGCAAAGGAGCTGATAAGGACAGAAGATGATTATTTAAAAATCAAACCCAGAAAAATAGAAGTGAATCAAAGTTCCAATAAGAGAAGATACCCTGATGCCAATGAAGGTGTTGCTTTATCAAGCCAAGTAACACAAGTGTACCCAGCTGGAAGAACAGCACAGGGATTATGAATAAGGACCCTGCCTTCATAAGGTCTGGGTTGGCATTCTGAATATAAAAACAGAGCTATCTGTCCTGGATAATTACACATGTGATGACCTAAATTCAGGGGACAAATCATCTGTCCTAGGCACCTATGAATTATAATATATTACTTGTCTCTGTCTCCTCATCTGGAAATGGGAGGAGGGAGAGTAAGAATCACCTGGTGTTGCTGTGAACATGAAATACATTTTTTTTTAATTCAATGGTGTTTGAGTTTTTTAAAACTCTTTCAAAGCATGGAAAAAAGAAAAATAGATATATTATTTTAATGAAACAAGCATAAAATTGATAGTAAAAAACATCAATTATACAAAAGAAGTAAACTATAAGCAAATCTCTCATTTGTGGATTTGGACATAAATCCTAGATATAAATTATCTATAGATAATTTTCCTATAGATATTAGGAAAAAAAACCTCAACAAGAAAAGAACATTAAAAATTTAATTTATCACATAAAAAATAGAAATTATCTTAATTAAGTGATTCCATTTCTATAAATTTATCTTCCATTATTGTAAAGTGATATGTATACATGGCTATTCATTGTAGAAAATTTTGAATTCACAAAAGAGATTATAATTCCCATTGATAAGCCTAAATTTCAGTTTATAGGAATTGATAAAACATTTTATATTCATGTTATATGAGTATTATACTATAAAATCTATAACATATAGCTATTAAAGATGAAAACATCATATCTAATAGGTAATTTTCTCAGAGATAAGTTGTTGAATAAAGAATGATATGATCTAAATTCATGGATAGGGAACAGGTTAAAAATACTGAAGCAGGCCAGAAACCCCCACCCAGAAGACTCTTGCAATAATTAAACAGAAACCACCATTATATTTGTAACATATAAATTCCTCTTCTTCAGAAAGCTTTCTATCAGCAAAAACTTCTGCATGCAGAAGGGCACTGTGGTTGGTAGTTTCCTCTTTTTTATAAATGCCAGGTGTGCAGAAAAAAGCAAACAAACTTGTGAAACCTCTGTGTACTCCCCACACACACACACACCCCTACCCCAGCCCCGGTCACTGGGTATAAAGTTCAAAGAATTTCTACACTCATTGTTCAGAGGAAGAATTCTTAGGCCAGAGCCACCTCTGAATCCTGCTGTCAATAAACATGCTTCTTGAAAATTCCTCAGGTGTCCAGCCCCTTCTATTCTATCTACTTCAAAATACTGTGTTCATACCATGAAATATCAGAGTGAGAAATATAATAATTTCAGAGATATGTTAATACATGCTTAATAAAGAAACATGGTAAAATTCCTTAAACACAATTGCATGTACATAAAATGCCTTTGAAACAATATCAATAAATGGGTAACACATTTATTGATTCTTCCAAGAACTGAGTATTGGGGGACCTGGGTAAATTACTTTTTATTACACACTTTTACTTTTGTACTTCTGAATGGGCTTCTTACTCAAAACTTAAATTAAAAATGAAAGACATATTAATTATAAGTTAATTATCTATTGACATCTAAAACAAATAAGATACTACACTTGACATGAGGTCTTGCACTCATGGAATAAAAAATATTAGTCATTATTGCAACTGTTGGTTTACTATCAGTTGTGAATGTGAGAATATAATTGGATTCTGCAATAAGAAGCAGCAAATGGACACTATCATATATTGAATACAGAGTGCTATGTGGGCTTAATGGGGCAAGACTGGAAGTAATAGAGAGATCATTGACTTTGGAACAATATTAACCAGGTCTGTATTCCAAGCTGGATAATTACAGTATATTCAATGTTTGGGAATTGAGTTACTTCCATCAGCCCAGGTTATTATTGTTTTTGTTGATGTTATTATAAATTGAAGAAAATAATGCTTAGACCCAAAGGGGATATGACAATTAGATATAACATACATAAAGGACCTAGTATCATTCCCCATGATATACAATGTGCCTGGTTCATAGCAACTACTTTTTTTTTTCTTTTAAGTATTTTAATTTATTAAATTTACCAATAGGTACTTCCATGGTAAAATAATTATTATTTTTTTTTTAATTTTATTTTTTTAATTGGTTGTTCAAAACATTATTAACATTCTTGAAATACTAAAAGTAGTTACTAGAGGTAATAGCTAAGATAAAATTGTTAAATAAAAGTTGGACTATATTATGATAAAAAATAATGAAAATAAATACTATTGGGCAGAAAATGTTTTATATTTTTCGTATATGAAATTTAAGTAAACTGAACTAGAGACAGAATAGGAAAGTACGTCATCTAATCAGTGTCCATTCTGGGGACTCCTGCAGTGTAATACAATAAGACATTCATAAGAAGTGAAACTGATGTTTACCACTCACTTGGAATCAGAAATATTTCAGGATCTAGGCTATAATTTCCAAATAAATTTGGACAAAAACTTTAATATCTGTGATCAGTACTTCTTGGGAAAAAAGACATACTGAATATATTTACCTATACTCAGTGATGAGGTTTTTTTAAAATGCATTTTTTGAGAAAGTTTACTAGAGATTATTTTTAATTGGTCAAAATTTTTAATTCTTAATGCTATTTAAATTTTGTTTCCCTAAGCAAAACAAAACCATCGAGATTTTTAAATAATAATAATAATAATGTTTATGATACAGTTTCTTCAAATGGGCCTTGAGTACTGGCCTTGAATGAGGGAAACCTAAAGAGTTGCCTTCTGACAGAGAAGCAGATTGGGAGCACTTTCAAAGTTCTGAGTTTGGGTCTCTTACTTCAGGTGGCATAAACTATCCACTCTAGATCTCAGACTACTCCTTTGACTTATTTCCAGGAAGAAAAAAAAAAAAAAAAAAAAAAAGATGTGTGTGGTAGGGAGGAAAAGGAGATGCAAGGAAAATATTTGCAATTACATCAATTTTGAATCAAATGCCTGTACTACAGAAGTCTCCAGCCTTGGAAACTGCACTAGATGCATAACAACACTTTTTATAAAAAAAAAAAAAATCATACACCACAACCCTTCAGTCCACCCTTAAGTTCAGCCACAGCTGTGGTGGACAGAGCTCATTTACACTGATTCACATCTGGAACACCCAAAGATTCAGCTCTTCAGACTCAGAATTTCCTCCAAAGCCAGAAAGTTCCTTTGACAAATGGCAGGCACTGCTCAGCCCAGAGTGCAGGGGAGTGATCTAAGGATGGGAGTTAATGGGTAAATGCCTAGGGTGACCATCTTTGAACTGGTAATTCTGGGGTACAGTCTAAAAATTTTCTTGAATGCTTGAACACCCAAGAATTCAGACGTGATTGGCTTTCATCCTTCCTTATCTTATTTGCCCATTTCACTCTGGCTTCCAGGGATTCTCTTTCTAAATATCTATCTATATTGTTTTGGACTTGGTTTTCTGGAGAGTCCAAGTACAGGATGGACCAGTAAGGCAGAAAAAAATAATTGACAACATTTTCTTATTTCTTCTTATTTTATTCTTAATATAAAGCTTAATTTTTTAAAAGTAGCTGGTATTTACTATTCAAACTGAAAAAGGGAGAAGTTTGAATATATTTGACTGTTCACGTCTGGATAGAACTTGCCATAGTATATCATCCCTGAAAACTCTTAAAAACAAAACAACTGCAAATAGGTCTATGTAACCAAGATGCCACTATATTATTGCACTATATTATTTCCTTCATACAGTGAATGACCTACTCTTTTTTGTTCTTGTCTAGAAATATAAAACCAGTATCCTTTTCAAACAGAGCCCATCCTTTCTTAAAACCTGAGCCCTAGAATGTAGCAGTTCTACCAAATGTGCAATATATAGAACAAAAAATAAGTTTATTCTGTGCTGTCTGAAATGCTACTATACTTAAACTTCAAAATTGCCCCTAAAGGAGCAGATGTAACTATATATAAATAATGAGAAGTGTGATTCTAACTTATATTATGTAAGGATTAAAAGAATTAGGAATATATCCTAGAAAAGAGATATGGCAGCATTTTCCAAAACTTGTATGAATTCTCAATATCATTAGAAGTAGAATCAGGATGAAAGACATAGATTATAAGGAGAATAATTTGTGCATAATAGGAGTAATAATTTCTGAGAATCAGAACTCTCCAAATATAGAATAATTTGCCAATGGAGATATAGAGATCCTGATAATTAATATTCAAGCATATGCTCTGAGACTAGTAACTGGCAATAAAATTACAGAATAGGCAGGCCTCAAATAGGAAGAGCCAGACTAAATAGGTTTAAGTTCTCTTTGAGCTGGTAGAGTCCATGATCTGAAAACCATAAGCTGATAAAAATATGTGAAGCTTCCACATTGTTAATAAATTGTTGTTACTGTACCTTTACAACACAGAGAACACCTTCATTAGTTGCTTTGTCTGTGCTAATTTTGAAGTAACCATTTTCATTTCCTTTTAAAATGGTAAAATTAGCCCTCCAATTTTCAGTATTAATTGAATCCTTATCTTCTATAGGTATTCTTAAGATTTCCACATTATATATATTTTCATCTACTGTTGCTTCATACTGAAAGAAACAGAATTCATTAAAAATTTGATTTATAAAGAAAATTTTTACAAAGAAAGTAAAATGTTTCTTCCTCTTTAAAAATAATTATTCTTAGCTGGGCACCAGGCATGGTGGCACACACCTGTAATTCCAGCAGCTCAGGCAGCTGAGGCACAAGAATCCCAAGTTCAAAGACAGCCTCAGCAACTTAGCGAGGCCCTAAGCAACTTAGTGAAACCCTGTCTCAAAAACTAAAAGGGGCTCAGATGTGGTTCAGTAGTTAAGCATACCACACACACACAAAAAAAACATTTATTCTTATAGATTATTTTAAGACCATGAATCATAAGTAGAACTATTTCATTCAATGTTATCTTTTAAATAAAAGAACTTCCCTACATGAGAAGACTAGAATGTCATTGGCCTATGAGGTAGATCATATAAATACTATAGTATTAATAAATGAAAGTATTATATAATGTACATAAATTTTAATATTATTCATGAATTACATGTGTTTCAAAGTATGACAAATATTTTATTAATTCAGATTAATTAAAAAAAGAGACAAGATGGACAGATTTTTATATTATATACTTACAGCATTTTGTCTGAAAGTAGGTGCATTGTCATTTGAATCTTTTACTGTTATGATACAAGTTGATGTACTGGACAATCCAAAAAATTGACCATCCATGTCTTGGACTTTCATTATCAATGTGTACTTGTCTATAACCTGAAAACAAAGCCAATGCTTAATCTTAGATACTTTTGTTTAATTTCATAAAGGAAGCCTCAATTGTACCCTTTTCTATTTTCGTGCTTTAATTTGATTTCTGTACTTCCATATATTCTAAGAATCTGGTAGAGAAAGGTAAAACTGAAAACGTAGGCAGAGGTTAAATTACAAAGACATACTAAGAACTTAGGTTTATGTTTTAACAGATAATAGGGGAAAGTTTTAGGGGAAGCAGAGAAAATGCAATGTAGAAACATTTGAGTTTTAGAAAGAAGAGTCTTAAAGAAGATTGAGCATAATTTGGAGTAAGCTAAATGAGCTCACTCACAAACTACAATAACCTAAGGCTGGTGTCCAAACCTGAGGCAGTAGCAATAGGGACAGAGAGAAAGGGTAACAGGAAAGCACTTGGGAATTACAATGGAGTAGGACTTGATAGTAGATTCCATATACAACTTAAGAAGAAAAGAGAGAACTGGTTAAGTATGATGCATAAGTGTCTACTTGGACAGGTGGACAGGAATATGACTGGCCAATGCTGGAGATGCAGAAAGAGAGACAGTTCTCTGAAAGTGTGAACTATAGAGTGAAGGGATTAAAAATAAGAGTTTTATTTTACAAATACTGAATTTTGTGTGCCTAAGGTAAATTGAATGAAAGAAATTTAGAAGTACCTGGGTATATGTCTCCATACTTAATGGAGAGATCATGGGCAGAAATACCAACCTGGGCATCATCATTATGTAGAGAGTGGTTGAAATTGTGGTGGGAATCAGATTATCCAGGAGACAGTACAGGATGAGAAGAGCTGAGGACATGAGGAACAATAGCATTTGAAGCACAGAGAAAATAAGAAGTCAATGCAAAGCACGTTAAAAAGGAAAGATCAGTGAAATGAGGGGAACCGGAAATCCCAGGGAAGACAGTTTTCATAAGTGCCAACTAGAAGCAGAGACATAACTGTTGGATTGAGCAATTAGGAAGCCACTGTTGACTTCTGCACATGGTGTGGTGATGTGAAATTAATTCCTTAGACTGTGAAACATTCATCATTGTAGCCTCTTATTTTATTCATTTTGGCCTTCTGTTGGTTTCTTTGTTGGGTCCTGTGCTCTCTCTCATCCCTCAGTCTTCATTTTGCCCAGTTTCCTTTCCACAGTGGAAATCCCCACTATACAATGTCCCTCCCCAAAACTTCAGGACTGTCTGATACGCTGTGTTTCCATTCACCTAAATTCAGTCTCTTTCTCTCCCTTATTCATTTCTTTAGTTCCTGTGTGGTTCTCTACAACACACTCCGACTGTTCCACACAAAATTCCAATAGATTATTTTTTTTTTACATGAGGCAAACACACCTGGATTTCTCCTAAACTGGAACAAATACATTTTATAATCTTAAAATAGTTAATATTTCTAAACATCATCTATTTCCATTTGCAATAAATGGGAAAACCTTGTCTTGCTTGATTGCCATGTTAACTGTCCATGTACCAAAGATACAAAAACATTCACATTATCCCTTTCAATCTTTCTTATTTGTTATTATCGTTATGTGCTTTACCACATAAATGCTCCAATCCTGAAAAAATTAAAATGATGGTAACTACAACTTTTAGATTACTTTCAATTCCTTTCTATAGATTCTCTTATGTCTTTGGTGTCAATTACATTGATTTCTCTTTCATAATCTCCTTAGCATGTCAACCCTACTATTTATTTTATTCTCATAATAGGGATCATTGAAGTGTTCCAATAAAGCTATTTTATAGATATGAAATTGATTCTTTTGCCTCAGTTAATGAGATATAATTCTGATTTAAATGTAGCCTGACAGAGTGGACAGAGAAACAATAAAAACAAAAGATTGGAAGTTTCTGTGAAATAATTGGAATTGGTCAATTCAATCTTTCTGACCATGACATTTCTCCTCTATAGGTTAGACATAGCACCTATATAGTCAAACAAGGAAATTACAAAAACCACATAAATCTATGCATAAATAATTTGAGCAGAAATTACTATATGAATGACAATATACTATTAATATCATTGAAATAGTGTTACAGAATTTTAATGATTCAACACCTTTATCTGAACTGATCCTTTTCTGATAAAAAGTATGTACATCTATAATAACTGAAGAGGGATCAAGTTATGATCTATATTCATGAAATAAGCAAAACTTATTGTCCTACCTGAGAACTGGAGCCTTTATTGAACAGGGACCAAGAAACCACAGACAAGGAAATAGAATGTAAAGGACAGAAAAAATGCAATGAATCCTTATTGTCTTAAAACTGTAATAAATTAATAAATTCTTAATCCATAGGATAACAAATTATAGCAAAGGAGCAAAAGGCGCTCAACTCCCAGTAAAATGGCATTCTGCAAAATGTGGCTATTACCTCTCTGTCCAAGTAGTGAGAAACTGTGGTGATCACACCTGTGCTGGGATGCACAGAAAAGAGCCCAGGTGATTTCGGATTCTGCTCCAAAATGCTGTACTTCAGACGTGTGTGCATTGTGTCTGGTTCATCTCTGTCTGTGGCACATACCACTCCCACTGTTGTACCTGTGCATTTAAAAGAATTTTTAAGCCCAGCGCAGTGGCGCACACCTGTAATCCCAGTGGCTCAGGAGGTTGAAGCAGGAGGATTGCTAATTCAAAACCAGCATCAGCAACTGAGTGAGGCACTAAACAACTCAGTGAGACCCTGTCTCTAAATAAAATACAAAACAGGGCTGGGGATGTGATTCAGTGGTTGAGTGCCCCTGAGTTCAATCCCTGGTACCAAAAAAAAAAAAAAAAAAGAACTTTTATTTTCCACAACTGCAAAACATGTTTAGAAGTATCTACACTTTTCAAACTTTAAGAGTGATGGTGAACTCCTCATTCAAAATGTATTTCTTACCAGAGGTAATTCTCTTTACATAGAATTAATAAAGATGACTTTATATGAATAATAAAACATTTTAATGCTGAGAATCAGCTTGTATTTTGCTTACAATTTAAAATGCTTGATAATGCATTACTAAAAAATGGCAATAAAAATTATTTCAATATATACTCTTATACTTTGCAATAACAAACCTAGCTGGAAGAATAAACCATGTCTCCTAAATAATTCAGATTTTTGCAAATTAAACTCTTGATTAAGTAAGTGCTAAACTAAGGCCTATTTAGAATAAGATCATATAGATAGTCAGGTTGACCTTTAATAGTCCAATTGCCCAGTATTTCCTTTTTATGATTTGTTTGTTGTTGTTTTCTAAGCTCTGATTCATTTTCTTTCAACTTCTTAGTATGAAAGCCTTAAATGGCATAAATCTCCTGATGTGATTACTTCAAGAACCAGGTGTTGATGGTGGCATCAAAGTATTCACCCTAGGTTCTCTACTGCTACTGAAAAAAAAAAAAAAAAGCAGAATCCTCAATATAAAAATCCTGGAACTGTTTTCTCTATTTTTGAGAAAGGAAAAATGAAACAGAGTCATAGAATTGTGAAGCTAAAAAACAGTATTGATCATCTAATGTAATTAGCTCTTTTTACAAGTGAGAGAACTCAAAGTAACTTCCCTGAGTTCTCATGAATTCATGAGAGAACCGCCATGAAAAATTCTGTTTTCTAAACTCCAAACCAATGATCGTTGTGTTTTTTAATTGTACATGTAGATAATAAACAGGTTTACATTGATGACAACAAATTATCAAAGAAAAATATAAAGAGGAAAAATAATTGAAATAATGCTGCAAAAATCTAAGTGACCCTGAGAAAACTTAATAGATGAGTTAGAAAAGTCACCCTTCATGATGGGGTGCACATTCTTTCAACTTTATTACAGGATACCTATTCTTCATTTTACAAGTCTCAGAAGACATCATGAATGCTACATTTAGGGGCCAAGTAAACTGAAATACTTTGATTTTCCACATGTGAGAGTGTTTAGGATGGGGAATGCATTATGTAACTTTTTCTAATGTTATTCCAGTATTCATTCTAAATTGGAAGTATTGAAGTAGTAGTTTTGAAAGAAGAGATACTACAAAAAAATGTTTAAAAAATTGTGTTCTCAGTGGATGTCATTTAACACCTCTCTATATGAAACCTCATTTAAAAATCTTCACTACTTTTTAGTTTTATTGTTCATTTCCCCCTGGAGGTGACAATAGTAATAAACCCACATAATAAGAAAATGAAATAAAATACATAAGTCAAATATGATACAAAGCTTGAATAACTGTTGGCTGCCATTATAGTCCATTAGTGTCACATTGACAATGCTAAAAAGATTACTGAAACACCTGGTAAGATACATGTTAATAGAATGTGAATAAAAGTTTTCTAATAAGTAGGTACTAATCTAGTGTTACCTCACAATGACCTGGCCATGAGTATTAAAAAAAAAAAAAATCAATGTCTCAAAATGCACACAAACATATTTAATATAGAAACAGCCTTACCAAGTCTACTACTTTCTGGAACTTCAAAATTATAAATTGTTTCTGTGAAAATAGGGTGGTTGTCATTTTCATCCTCCACTTTGATGGGTAGTGGAAGAGGTAAATCCGCCGAGTACCCATCTGCAGTTGATGCGTAGGCAATCAACTATAAAACAGGAAAAGTAGCTTCAAAAGTCAATATCAATTAGAGCAAAAGGATAGGATGCTCTCTCAACTATTTTCACTGCAAATATTTTCAGCAACAATTTCAAAGATTTGTATTTGATGCTGTTTAGATCAAAGCACCAAATGGAGAAACATTTTATAGCAAAGAAATTTTAGTATTTGGTAGAAATGGCTTCACTTCAAATAAAACCTAGGTCAGAATATAGCAAAATCGGGAACTCTGTATGCTGTTCTGAGGCATTATTTGGGCTATAATAACTTGGATTATAGACCTTACTTTCTCTATAATCATAAAGTCACATTTGAAGAATAAATAATGTCACTGCAATGGGAAAAATCCCCACTATGTGATGTACATAAGGTAATAATTCCCAATCTTTCCATTTTAAGCCCTTTTATTATTTTACCTTATAGATCACATATTTGCTAGAGTTTTTCTAACAAAATACACTTACTAATTTCTCCATTGCTAATTAACCAAAGGCAATATATGGTCAAATAAAATGTATTTCTATTCAGTCTGTATAGAAATACACTCTATTTATAGAAATATACTGTATTCACTGAGTTGAACATTTTCTAAGCAAAAGTAAAGTATATTATATGGGGCATGTCTCCCACGTTTGCTGGCCCAGAAACTCTTTCCGCCTATAAAAACAGAATCTCTGTTTCCAATAGGGAATCCTTCCTCCTACCCACCAGGGAGAATATACAGATATATACTGTGTGATGATTACCACAGTCAAATTAATGAACCCCCAAATCATCATACATAGTATTTACCACATTACAATGAAAATTGTCTGACTTATTTGTCTTTGATTACAAGCTTTTCTCTATCAGAATGCTTGTTTACTAGCCTTTGTTTGAGCTTGGTTTTATTTCTTTCACTTTTATTTCTTCATCTAGTTTTCAGACAGGATTACAAAGTCATAAATGTGGAAAGAAAACAAAAACGTAAAGCAGTAGAGAAGTAGGATCTATTTGAACTCTGGACAAGTACTGGAGAGAAGAAAAGGTACCAGTGACCAGAGAAAGTATCTCATAAGCAAAACCAAATTCCTCCAAAGGTACTAGAATTTACATTCAAACATAATTAAATCCCTTTGCTTCATTTCAGGATTTCCTAACAAAAGTTAAGATGAAATATTGACCAAGCATTCCAAATTATGGCACACTCTATGTTCCTTTGATTTTAAGATACCCTCTAAGATAGAGTGCAAGAAGATAGGAAAGAGTAGGTGGAGTACTAAAGGAAGAACAATTTAATAAAAAAATAAAGTCATATTTCTCAATAAAATTCCTACATCAAAGACATCATATTCCTCACGATCCACGGGCCGGGTGCAATACAAATTTCCAGTGTCTCTTTCTATGAAAAACAAATTTAAAGGTTCTTGGTCAACTCCACGCCCACTTATTGAGTAGAAGACGGTATAATTCTGTGCTGCATCAGATTGAACCTACAAGGGAAAAATGTATATGTGAGAAATTAAAATTAAAATGCTATCTTTTAAAAATTCAGCTGATGTATTCATATATATTTTTTGTTTTAAAGATAAGAATTCAATAGAAAAGAAAAATAATACCCATTGTTCGCAAGGTTGAGGCAAACAGGATCTCCCATACTGGTGGGGGAATTGAAATGTACACTAGAGAGAGGAGCTCACAAAATTACAAGAATGAGCTAGCTATAAGAAAAAACAGGAAAGATTCTTCCTGACAGAGAAAACAGGAAGTACAATGGAATCAGGCTAGGGCAGTCCCTAGGGTGTTCAAAGTTCTGCAAAAAAAGCCACTATTGTTGGAGCAGAAGAGCCAGGAGGAGAGTAGGAGATTAGCCAGTAATGAGATGAGAGGGGCCACATCAGGCAGGTGATTCCAAGGAAGCCAGATTTTCCTTGTAGAAAATGAAGATAGAAAGTCATTGATGACTATCAAAAAGAGTAACATTGATAATTTTTAAATGATTTTTTTAAAAAATTAGACACTTAAAAACTTAAGTATTTTTAATTAAATCTTTTGAAAATAAATATTGTATATACAACATGATGAGTTGCCCTTATAGATATATATTGTGTGATGATTACCACAGTCAAAGTAACGAATCCAACAATCACCACACATCAGATTCCCAGAGCTCGTTCATCTTACAACTGACAGATTATACCCTTTGGACAACATCTTCCCCTTTTCTCCACCTCCCATGTCCCGGCAACCACACTTTTGTTTCTTTGAGTTTAACTCTTTTAGATCCCACAAGTAAGATCATACAGTATGTATCTTTCTCTGTCTGGATTTATTTCACTTAGCATAAAGTCCTCCAGGTTCTGTGTTGTTGCCAACTGTCGGGATTTCCTTTTTATGGATGAATAATACTCCGATAGGTGTGTGTGTGTGTGTGTGTGTGTGCATGTCTTGCATGCATCATGATGGTCTTCACACATTCATTTGTCAGTGGATAATCATGTAGTTTCCACAGCTTGAACATTGTGAAAAGGGCTACAATGAACATGGGGAGTACAGATGTCTCTTTGACCTGCTGATTTCATTTTCTTTGGGTAATACCCAAAGAAATATCCAGAAGTGGAGTTGCTGGATTATATAGTAGTTCTAGTTTTAATTTTTTAAAAAACTTCTATACAGATTTCCATAATGACTAATCAGTTTATAATTCTATCAGTGGTATACAAGTATTCCCTTTTCTTGACATCCTTACCAGCATTTTTTTGTCTCTCTCTCTTTTATATTTTTAATAATAGCCATCCTCACAGGTGTGAGGTGAAATCTCACTGTGATTATATTATGTGATAATTAGTGATGGTGAGCAACTTTTCATGCACCTGTTGATCACTTTTGTTTTCTTTGGAGAAATATCCATTAAGGTCCTTTGCCCATTTTTTAATCTGATTATTTGGCTTTTTGCTATTATATTATGTGAGTTACTGGTTATTTTGGGTATTAATCCCTTACAGATAGCTTACATTTTTTCTCTCATTCCATAGATTGCCTTTTAAAGGATTGTTTTTCTTTTTTGCATTTCAAAAGGGCAATACTTGTTCCTTTGTCTGAAGTAAGGGAAGAAGTAGGGAGACCATTTTGAAAGTTACTACAAAAATTCAAGGGAGAGAAGATAGTTTATTAAACTATCAGTAGCAGGAGGAGTGGTGAAAAATGGTTAGATTCTGGATACAATTGAAAGGTCCGGTCAATAGATTTGCCAATGGGTTGGATATGTGGAGTTAAGTATAAGTCAAGCATGATACCATATCAGAGGGTGATATGGTATCACCTACTATCTCTTCTGCTTATCTTCCTTAGTATTAGAATTTATAGCTGAACACAAAGATACCCAGAAGAAAGGTATTCCTTAGTCTCCTTTAAAATTAGGTAAGATCACGTGGAAAGTTCAGGTCCACAGGATGTAGATAAAAATAATATAAATGGTAATTATAAAATAGATTTTAAAAGAGTAAAAATAAAAATAGCTGTGCAAAATCCAGGCTGTGCTCTAAAAAAAGAAGATGAAGTATGTCCTTACTTTCTAAGATGAAGTAAATGAGTTTTCAGGTGTGGTCAAGATAAAAAATAAAAAAGCCAGTCAGGCATAGTGGTGCAGTCCTGTAATCCCAGCAACACAGGAGGCTGAGGCAGAGGATTGCAAGTTCAAAGTCAGCCTCCCCAATTTAATGAGGTCCTAAGCAACTTAGCAAGACCCTGTCTCAAAATAAAAAATAAAAAGGGCTTCAGATGTGGCTCAGTGGTTAAGCGCTACTGGATTCAATCCCTGGTACCAAAAAAAAAAAAAAAAATCCTAGGTCCCTCGTGTTGCCTCACTTTAGAGCCTTGTTACTAGGTCACTCTTTCGTGGAATAGTAAGCCTCTGTCTTGCTTATACCACTATTATTTTGGATTTCAGTAAAATGTAACCATGCCAGTGTCCTACAATAATCAAAAACTTAAAACTTAGCTAAGAGAAGAAGAGGTGGACTTAGTACATTGGGACTCAACATCTATTTCATATTCCTTCTACTGTGTCCTCTGATAGTGTAGATGCTGGAAAGAGTCAGACAAAACCCCCCCAAAAAATGTTAAAATTTCTAGCATCTCAGTAGCCAGAGTTCTATACTGAAATAGGGACTGTCAGATGTGCTTGTGCAAGATTTGGACCCTTTTAATTGAGGCAGATTTTTTATTTCTGCTGCTTCTACTGTTTTTGCTATTTAGCTGCAATTTTCTTTCTTTCTTTTTTTTTTTTTCCTGTATCAACAGAAGTTCTAGTATCTATTCACTAACTTGGTGGAGGTGGAGAGAGACACTATGGTCAATCTGTAATGTTGGTTAGAATGGCGCAGAGTTACTCTGGAGCTACATGAGGAGGAGCAGCCTTCTGGCTGTGCTGTTTCTCTGACCATAGCAGTGGCACTCTGGTTCAGAATCAGTGTCTTCTCTATCACAAGGAAAGCAAAATGACCCCTGGTGGTAGGTTCTGTGATGTGGCTAGTTTGGGATTTCTTCCTGAAAGCTCAAACTAAATTTTGTTTCTTCAGCCCTCCTAACAATTCTTTACAGTGTTGGACCTACTGTAATAAATCCCAATCTGTTGTCTACTTGGAGAGACGTGTGCTCTTTCCAACTAAAACCTTAGGATGAAACACACAGGAATGACCCGGAATTACTAAATGAAGTGGGAAATGTTTTTGGAAGAAAAACCAAAACTTTCATATGTATATGCAAGTTTAAATTTTAAAATGTGTATTAAACTCCTAAGTGGAAATGTTAAGTTAGGCAGATTGAGCTGGAAATATGAAGGCTCCAGTCTCCCATGTGTGAGCCATGTACATAGAGCCATGAGAAGAGATGAGACCAATAAAAGAGTACACATAAATAAACAAGAAGCAAGTTCATGGCTGAGCCCTGGCGCTCTCTAAAGTTTAGAGACTGACTGAGGAAGGAGGATAAAGAAGAGCCCCAGAAAGAAAAAAAAATTTTAAAAAAGCCAATGAAAAAATTGGAAAACTGGTTGAATGGTTTGCTAGAAGCCAAGTAAGGAAAAGGTTTCCGAGAGGGAAGGGTCAGGTATGTCCAATGTATATATTTCAAGGAATTAAGGACAGAGAGGTTTAGTAATGCAGTGACTAAAACTATCTATGATCAGGATAAGTTCAAAAATCAGGAGTCATTTCTCAACATGCCTCATCACTGTTTAAGGTAAGATATTCAGGAGGAAGAAGAAAGGGTCAAGTGCTGGGTAGAACAAAAACTGAGTGGGGGACTGGGGATGTGGCTCAAGTGGTAGCATGCTCGCCTAGCATGCATGAGGCACTGGGTTCAATTCTCAGCACCACATAAAAATAAAGATTATGTCTACCTAAAAAACTAAAAAATAATTTTTTTAGAAAAAAATAAAAACAGAATATTGAAAAGTTAAATAAGTGGCACACAGATCACAACAGTCTTAAAAAGCAATCGCAGTAAAGAAATTTAAGGGACAAAGAAACAAGCACGAGGCCATAGACTTACTTCAGCAATTGCTTTCATAACCATGCTCCATATAAAGCATGTTTAAACCTGATCCTGTTTCTATACTGCTTAAATTGTCTCCCTGATTTTAAGATGCAGTGGAACTTCCTAGGAAAATGCACAGGGCTTTTCGCGCTTTGATACATACCTGCTGTTTCTGCCCCTTCCCTCTGCTCCACCCTTATCATGCCTGGGAGCAGTGCTCCAGTGCTCCTTTAAGGGGCCAGGCTTGCTCTCATTCCTCTCATCTCTGTACTTCCCTCTACTTCCCTCTTCTTCCACAATTATTTACCTGCACAGAACTGTCCCATCCTTCAGGTCTCAATTCAAACAACTCTTCCCTTGAGCTCTTTCTTGTTTTCAATACCTGATCTGAGGACTTGGTGTTTAACACATGCATTACCAGCTAACTCTAATGGTTACATCTCTGACATTGAAGTCCTTACCAGGAGTTATAATCATTTATCTATTTCTACCTCCTTTTGCTAAGTCAATGAACTACACAGAGCAAAGGCCAAGACTAAACTTGTTTCCATCTTTAATACCTAAAGCAATGCCTGCCACAGAACATAGTAGGTGCTCAATAACTATCTGCTAAATGAATGAATAAGTGAATAAAGATCATTCAATGGCTATAGAATCCATCTGATATCATCAGTATTTTAATAACTTTTTGACTTTGTTTTTTATTATACTTCATAAACATATTTAATCAATTTATTTATTTATGTGTTCTGTTTAGATATATGTGGTAGTAGAGATGTATCTTGACGTGCTAGACATATACGAAGTATAACTTAGATCTAATTCAGATCCTTTTCTTGTGGTTGTACACAATGTGGAATTACACTGGTAGTATATTCATTTATGAACATAGAAAATTTATGTCTGATTCATTCTACTGTCTTTACTATGACCTTCTAAACCTGAACAAAAAAGACTCTCATAAATAAAACACTCATAAACAGAAAAAATATAGACCTACTTGTTGAAGAAACAGAGGGAAGGGGCCCAGGGAATTCTCTTGCATTGAACAAGGAATAGGTGCCCATCTCCTCTTGGCTCTCCTGAGAACAGTTTCTTTAGTGTGTCTTTTCTTCAACATCTGAATTTAAAGAAAGAATACATAAACAAAAGCATCACAGTCTACTTTATTGTAAAATGGTGGGCAGCCTATAAACATAAAGTCTCTCTAGAGGTTCCCATAGGAATTTCCATGCTCAAGTTAAAACCAATTAATAAATCTTTGCTCATTATACAAGAATGTATACAGATATTAAAGATTTCTTGACTAGAAAATTTCCTTTGCATACCTTCCCAGCGCTGACCATACTTATAGGTTAGGAAAATCACTATACTCTTAGTTCTACTCTGGCCTAAATAGAGAATGCATCCTCTCTATAACCATCAGTAGGAAGTGAGGGTGTGAAACTCAGCAATAGGGCACTTTCCTAGTATGCTCAAGGCCCTGGATTGGATCCCAGCATGGCAAACAAAAATAAAACAAAACAAAAAGAACCCTCTCACTCTGCACAGCACTTATCTGTTCTTCCTGTAAAAGCCTCACATTCTCATGTGAACCACAAAAATAATATGTGTGTCCTTCACTGCCTTAACACTCTATCTACACTTTCCTATATGGTAGCCACTGGCCATCATTAGCCATGGGCTTATTTATATTAACTATAATTAAATAACATGAAAAGTTCTATCCATCAGCTGCACTAGTCACATGTCTCAGTAGTCATTTTTACTGGACTACCATACCAGACAGTGCAGATCAGAGAATATTTCTGTCATGACAGAAAAGTTCTATTGGACATTTTAGTGATATTCATTTCATTTCAGGATGTATAGCAAGGGAGACATTAGATTTGATGAAAATAAATAATTATATTAAACACTGAGTCAAGTGCTAAGCAGTCATTTTAATTAACTTTATCATTTGTGCAGTTAACATAGAATAGGAGTAACATGATCTAAGCTTTCAGCATTTTGTGAGTTCCTTCACATCCCCATTCATCATGATTTTTTTTTTATTGTTTGCACTAATAAAAAAAAAAACCTCAATGCTATAATAGTACAATTGCCAAATTGATGATGGGCATAAAAGTCATTAACCAAAATTTAGAGATGGAAGAAAACTTCACAGAGGGGGTATCCCTTAGATTTTAACAGAGTAAAACCAAAGCCAGTGTGTAGTGGTGTGGAGAGAAAGAGAAAAGGGGAGAGAGGGTAATGGGAAGAGGAAAGGAAGGAGAGGAAAATATACTATTTATCCTTTGGTCCTCTTGGCAATTTTTAATGAGTGTGTTTTACTGAAAAAAAAATCGTGCCTGTATGATGTACCTTTTTCTGGTGTTCCAGGAGCACATAAATCTCTTTCAGGGTCTGTGTCTTCCTGTCAGAAAGTCCTATGGTGAATGATCTTTTCTCACTAGACAACACAATGGCCCTGGCTGTGTATACGGAACCATCATCCAGAACTCTGAAATCAGGATCATTTGACTGGATGGAGTCTGCAGACCTGAGACATTCCTTCAAATCAACTGCAGATAAAAAAAAAAATTATAAGGTAGAAACACCTGCAAAAAGAAAAAGTATACTAAAATCATTTCTATAATATTCCAGAACACCAAGAAGTGAAATTATATAAACCACTTTATATTTAATAAATATATGAACTAGTCCTCTTACATTATTAGAAAATGTTATTCTAATTAAAAAAATAATTCTCAATTGCATATTTCTATCAAACACGGTGTCTTAAGCCTTAATAAGCTTCTCATAGGCTTATGAAAGTGACCTTCCAATTAAAGAGGAGTAGGCATTTAAATAGTGACAAAGTTGAGCTACACACCCCCACATACACCTGAATAAACACACAGAAAAGTTTCCCTTAACAATACACTGTAAGTCTTTTAAGTTGTCTTCACTCAGAAATTTTACACATGAGCACAAAGAACAATGGGGTTAGGCAAACAGTCAAGAAAGAAGAATCAACCTTTGAATTCTGCCCATTGGCTCTCTTCTGTGTACTTTCCCCCCATGAGTCCAAGGTTGTATGTATGGGGTCTGACTTTCTGGTATCCCACTAAAAACTCTACATGGTGTCTTCCCTCCCTAGAAATTCTGACCTTTAGTAAAAGATAATGGAAATATATAAATATATCTGGTTTTCATCCCATTCTTTATCTACATACTTTTGAAGAATCCAGACAGATAAATTAATAATTGAGTATTAATTACATTAATCCTCTCAAAGGATCCATATACTATATATATATATATATATATATATATATGTAGTACTTTCACTTTAATCTGAATCTGTCACAGGAGGAGATGTTTAGCCAAAATAAATGAATATTTCTCTTATTCTCACATTTTTAGCCAAATGATAAATTCTGATGTATTCCCCTAAAGAAATACCCCAGACCTCTCTATATCCATTCGTTTTTTTCCTCCCCATAGGAATAAAGTTGTCATTTGTTTACAAAAGTTATCTGAGGGTCTTTAACTAGTAATGAAATATTTTGTTGAAAAAGTAAGATTTGATATCTCTGGAAGACACTATACCTTAAAAAAAAAAAAAAAAAAAGTCATGATGCTTCCCTCCAATATTCTCCGCATCTACTAGGACAGCCCCTCTGAGCAGAGCTAGTTTTGAATGGAATGACTCACATTTTTATGTTGCTCAATGTAGCAAAAGCACTGATTAAGATACTGCTCTGATTCTCTCAGCTCTTCATATATATTTCTCTAATGCTTAGAAATCTGAAATACTGAAAGAATTATGCTTTATGTATAATTCTTTGTGGAATTTTTAAACTATTAAAACACAAATGACTACAAAAACATGGATGAGAACACTTATGCTAGAACCAAAAGAGTCATAAAAAGCAAAGAAAATGTTTAAAATAATTTTGAATTTTGTATACTTACAGTTAGATTCAGGCCAATTCCAGAGAGGCAAAGATAGTATATTGTATCCTTTCAAGCCTGAGTAAACTAAATTTATATTTTTAAAAGATTGTTTTGCAGGGTTCAGGGTGTAGATCAGTGGTAGTGCACTTGCCTAGCATGAGTGAAGCCTTGAGTTCAAACACAGTATCATATTAAAAAAAATTAAAAACATAAAGAGATTGTTTTGCAATTTCTCACCTCTGCCAATCAATTTGTCTGCCTCTAGCTTAGAGGGTACATTAAATATCACCCTTTTGCAGGCTTCACCAGCAAAAGTGAAGACCTAGAATAAACAAAGAACACATTAGTACAGTACAGAGTAAAGAACAAAAACCACCTGAGAATCTCAATAAATGTTGAACAAGCAATTGACAAAAATCTAAGGGAACTTGCTCAATGTGATAAAGGGCATCTATGAAAAATTTGCAACTAATTCCAACTTAATGAAGAAACTTTCCTCTTACATCAAGAAAAAGATAATAATGTTCACTATCACTACTTCTATTCAACATTGTACTGGTAATTAAACAAGACAGGGTAATTACACAAGAAAATAAAATTAAACCCAAATTGAGAAGGAAGAAGTAAAATTATCTCTATTCACAGATAACATAATCTTGTTTGTAGAATCTCCTAAGGAGTCCATTGAATAACTATTCCCCCACCAAAAAAAAAAAAAAAAAGTTAATGAATTCAGCAAGGCTGAACTGGATACAAATGAACATACAAAAATTAATTACATCCCTGTACACGAGCAATGAAAAATCTGAAAACAAAACTAAACAAAGTAGAATGACGTGAGTAGAAAAGGTCTGCAGAGCTGAGGCACTCCTTCAAATCAACTACAAATAAAAATTGCAATATCACTTGCAATCCACATGCAATATAATCAGAATTAAATATTTTGGGATAAATTTTGTCAAACAAGTACAGAATTCTTTATGAAAACAATAAAATTTTAGTGAAAAAAAACTTAAAAAGACCCAAATAAGTGGAGATGCATCTATATTCATGGATTAAAAGACATATTCCCCAAACTCATGTACAGATTTAATAAACCCCTATCAACATCGCAGCTATCTTTTTCTTTTTTTTTAAGAAGCTGAAAATTGATCCTTATTGAAATGCAAGGGAGTCCAAATAAACTTGACAAAGAACAAAGTTGGAAGACTTACATTTTCCATTTTCAAAACTAATTATAAGGTTAAATAGATGCCAGAGTCTGAAATGGCAATAAGATAATTATGTGGATAAGTGGAGTAGGATTAAAATTCTGGAAATAACTTCACTTGTTGTTAGCTTCCAGAAAGTTCAAGAGAAAGAAATCTGTTTAACACATAGTGCTGAGAAAATCAGATATCCTCATTCAGTGAAAGTGAATATGAACCCCCAAATTATACCACACACAAAAATTAATTCAAAATGGATTGCGGACCCAGATGCAAAAACTAAAACTATTTAAAGGGAAACTTGAGAGTAAATGTCCATGTTCCTGAGTCAAGCAACAATTTATTGGATATAACACCAAAAACACAGTGATCAAGAAATTAATAAACAACACAATCAAAATTTAAAATGTTTGCTTTTCAAATGATATAAGCAAAGTGAAAATATAACTCAGCGAATGAGAGAAAATATTTTCAAATTATATAACAATAAGTGACCTATATAAATAATATATGAAGATACCTTATATCCCAATAACAAAATGACACAAAAGTAGGCCAAGAATTTGCATAGATATTATGTAAAGAAGATATATAAATGGATCTTACATAGATTAAAAGAGGCCCAGCCTCATTAGGCATTAGGAAAATACAAATTTAAACCATAATGAGATACCTGCTATGATGGCTAAAATAAACAAGAGAAAAAACAATCAGTTGTTGATGAGGTTGTAGAAAAAATGAGAACTTCCTGCATTGATAGTGGAAATGTAAAGTGGTGCAAATACCTGGGACACAGATCAGTAGCTCCTCAAAGAGTTAGGCATAAACTCAGGCTATGATTCTGTAATCCTACTTTGTCTAAAAGAAATGAAAACCTATGTCTCCATAAAAGCATGGACATGACTATTCACAGCAGCATTATTCACAATGACCAAGAAGTATTAAAAAAACTCTCACGTATATCTACTGATGAATGGATAGCAAAATGGTAAATATTGGTAAAGTGGAATATTATTCAGCTATAAAAAGAAACAAATGCATGCTACTACATAGACAAATAATTATTCCCAGTAAAAATAAGTGAACAAAAGGTTCCTGTTGTATAATTTCATTTACATGAAATATCCCCACCAAAGCAACTGACTAGATAGAGACAGAGTAGTAGTTGCCTAGGACTGGGAGTAGAAATGGAAAGGGATTGTAATGGGCATGAGCATTCTTTTTAAGGAAATGGAAATGTTATAGTAATGGTTGTTCATTCTGTGAACTTGTTAAAATTTATATTCAGTACTGAAAGGGAAAAAAAAAAGAAATATATGTGGTATCTGAAATGTAAAGGGGATTCTCTTGACTGAGCAAAAAGATAACAAAATTTTAATTTTTTTTATTTCTCTTGTGGACACTTGCCTTCTACAAAATGGAAATAGGACCTTTCAAATTCTTAGCACTTGGAAGGTAAATGGCAAAATTTACTTCTTTATATTCAAAGTACTTAGATCATTCTAATAAATTTCCTTATAACCAATCTCATTTTAAGATGGAAATTCTGGTTTAAAGGAAAGTATGATTAATTGCAGGTGCCATATATGGAAGACAACTGCTGTGGGGATGACAACAGAACCAAAAAATGTGCATGGGTGTACATTCATTTAGTCATTCAGAGGTGGCTTCTGGATCTAGCTGCATCTCAATATGAACATCAACAATTTTGTTTTACAAAAGTAACTAATAATGCATCAGTTTAAATATATACTAAAATTTGACTTTCTTAAGATTGTGGCTGTAAAATGAACTCCTTCTCATTTACTTACTTTACTTGCCTAAATCTTTTTTGTTGTTGTTGTTGTTGTTTTGGTTTTTGGCAAGCATATAAGTCAGTATAAATTGTTGTGTTCCCTTCTATTTTAAAAAGTATGGGTATGTCAAAAAAGTCTCATAAAGGAGTCACACACCATTCTCATTGATCAATGTTATAAAACCTGAAAAGATGGAATGCACACTTGTCAACACCAGGTGTAGGTAAAGTTCATATATATCCCAAGAGGGAAAAGTACAATAGTGTATGGAGGAGGGGTTCATATGCCCAATGTTACCACTTTAGTTTCTTTGGAAGAAAAGTCCTCTTAGCCAAATGATACACTATATCCAAAAATATATCATTTATAGCATATAAATGGGAATGATACCATTCTCAAGGTAGATTTGATATGGAGAACACTATTAAACACATATTTTAAAGAGTCCTACTATTTGTAACATTGAGAAGACAACTTATCTAATGAAAACTAGTTTTCACCATCCCTAATAATTTTTTTTACATTAAAAGAGAAAACACTCTGGGGTTGTGTTTCAGTGGTAGAGGGTTTGCCTAGACCCTGGGTTTGATCCTCAGCACCACGTAAAAATAAACAAATAAAATGAAATTATTGTGTCCAACTATAATTAAAAACTAAATTGAAAAAAAAAAAAAACCCTCTGGCCAGACACAATGGGTAAGCCTATAATGCCAGCGGCCCAGGAGGCTGAGGCAGGAGGATTGCAAATTCAAAGCCAGCCTTAGCTATGGCAAAGCAACTCAGTGAGACCCTATCTCTGAATAAAATACAAAGTAGGAGGGTTGGCCTAGTGCCCCTGAATTCAACCCCCATACAGCCCCCCCTCCCAAAAAAGAGAGAATAAACACTCAGAAAGACACTTAAAAATTTTAAATAGTGAGATTGCTGAACATGTTTCTTTCCTATTTTTCTTCTCTCCTCAGTTTGTGTGTGTGTGTTCAATAGAAACTCTCTGATAGCAGTTTATAGTATGGTTGAGGAAAGAACAGAGGGAAAGAGAAACAGGAAAAGAAAAGTGCAAATTGGGAAAATTCCTCTACCTTCTGGAACAGCTCAGTGAGAAGGCTACCGTGTTAGAAATCTCAGATTTGTGTTAAGACTTCCTTTGAAAAGCTTTCTCCTTAGAACAAGCAATTGTTTTTGAAGAGACCCATTAGTTTCTAGAATATGAACAGTTTTTCTAAAATGATATGCCATTAATGACATACTCAAAGTGGGAAGAACATACAGAAAAGAGAGGATCAATTGAGTTCTTAATGTACCCATCAGGACCCAAAGAATTTGTAAATTGAGGGTTGCAGATGAAAGAAATTACCATTCTGTGTAAGCTCTCCAGGTCTCCAAATATACTTACTTAATTTTAGTAAGTACACTACTAAAATTCCTTTTTAAAATAATCCTGAAGGAGTATGTCCTAGACCAGAGCTGGAGCTTTCTCTGTTTCACTTCTACCCACTTTGGCACTGGTACTGCCTACCCCTATTGTGACTCTGGGTCAGGACAGCTAGGTGTCTTCCGCACCCTCCCCTGGAGCAAACACTGGGAATCTGGAAACATAGTACCTGTGGTTTCTTCTCCCCATTCCCTAATCCCTTCTCAGAGAAAACACAAAACACCAAATTAAAGGTTTTTCATAGAAATGCAGGAAATGTCTTCAAAATATCACAGAATACATTTTGCCAGCAGTTCCCATGTGTAAGGAGTCAGTTCTTGAACTCATTTTGTGGGAACGGTTGCAGAGCTGGTCATGCCCTTGTTTGTACAATTTCTTGCCTGCAGATATATCTTAGATCACAACTACTAACCCAGTATTCATAGCTCTCCCATTTAAAGACAGAATAAAGTTTGGACCCACTCGTCCTACTTGAGGGTGAGGGAGTCCCAAGACCGGCTTGGCCACAGTGAACCCACTTGGTAGACACAGTCCTTTCACCCTCCAGACCTCATGCCCATGTTTGGACAAGAGGAAGTCTGTAGCTCTTTCCCCTAGGTCCCAAGTGTCACTCTGGTTAGGTGTGAAGTTTCACAGATAACTGCTGTCAGATTTCCCAATTTTTATCAAGTCTCCTTGGGTTCTTTGAGAACTTCTTGTCCAAGTGAAACTTGTCCTCAGCCAAAAGGCAAAGAAACCCTTAGTGGGTCTCTGCAGGGCCAAAGGGCTTCCTAGAGCCGGACTAAGTACCACCCATCCCACTGCTTCCCATCTCATCCCAACCGACCTTGATTTCATTCTTAAGCTTCACTCCAGTCCTAGCCACCGGGCCATCCGTGCTACCACCATGTCCCCAAGAGCAACCCTTGCCCAACCTTCCCACACCCTCGCTCCCCAGACAGACATCGATCGCTGCGGGCTGGGTGACAAGGGGGGTGGATAGTTTGGGCGAACTCCTGAGTAGCCTTTAGGAGACGCGTAGCCAGGAAACCCGTTTCTCTGAGAAACCCCCACAGGGTACTCAGGGGCACGGGTCCGACCACTCCATTCACAAACGTCCCCATTCGAGGTCAACAGGAATCTTAGAGCAGGGCAAGCAGTGGCAGTTTGTTGAGCCCCATCTCACGTCTGTCTTTGCTCCTTCCACGATCCTAACTGACCAACAATCATCCTTTGTCCCTCTCCACCCAAAGGCGCGCCCTGTTACCTTTACCATCCCACCCTGCGAGCCAGAAGATTATAGCGATTCCCAGTTCCCTGCCCACCCACGACGGCTCTCAGCCAAGTGCGGAGAAGTTGGAAAGCAACGCATGATTCACACAATTAGGCTAAAAAAATCTGAGTATACAGCTACCCCTCAAGGATCCGTTTTCTTTCTCCACCCCAAGACTGAACTTGGGTCCTGTATCTTGCTCGGCAGAACTGAACCGAACAGTGAATGTTACCTTTGGGTCCATTTTGTCCCCTACCACCCCATCACACCCACCCGCAGCGACCACGACTGATCGACCCCCTTCGCCATCCCGACTCCATAATTAAGATAGGGACCGGGACCGATGGCTCACCAAGAGGGTCAGCAGCAGTTGCATGCAGAGGGCTTCATACAGTGGCCCCCGGAGACCGGCGGCGGCCATCCCTGCCTGCGCGGGACAGTGGCAGGAGAATGCGGGCGCAGGGCGGCGAAGCCCAGAGCAAAGGCGCGGGAGGAGCTTTGCTGGCTGTTGCTTGTCTTGTAGTCGCTTTGGCCTCTCTCAGGCTTGTCTGCCCGGGAGCGTGTTCTCTCCTGAAACGGGATTGGACCCAGGAGACGTAGAGCAGCCCCTCCTAGTTATTTCTCAAGTTTTATCACCGCGGGAGCCGCTGGGGAGCTGCCCGAGCCTGCCATCTCTCTCCCCGTGGCCGTCCAGGAGGGCGCTCGCTCTCGGGAAAGCGGTCCCAGGCCCACCCTCTACCCGCTCTCCCACACCCCTTGTCTGCCCAGCGGGGAAGCCGCCCAGATCGTCCCGGGGCGTCACCATCGCTGACGCTGCGCTGCGCTGAGCATTCCCACTGCAGAACCCAAATCTGCCTGTCCCAACTCGGGCCCTCCTAGGTGCCAAGAACATCTTGTGATTGGATCAGCAGTTTCTCCCTTCAACTCCTGAACAAATTCTGGGCAATGTCGTGTTTAAACAAACAACAACAACAATAT